TATAAATCATTCATAAAAGGAGACCTATTACTACTTCCCTACCATCCCTAACATCTCTGTAGTCTGTTACATATATCTATATCTATTTTGTAACTAAATTTGCTACAAAACAGAGCCCTGAATATTTATTTTGCATTTATTGCCTATTAGTAAGTTAAACATTTTATGTCTCTCTTTACTTTGTATTGCACCAAATGTTAAAATTCCTTATCATGACCTACATGATTCTAAGGGATCCTCCCATACCTTTGCAACCTCTCTGACTGTATCTGTACCACCAATCCTTGCACACAACTGCTGGCTACCACTCTTTCTGTTCCTTGACCTTTTGGGCACCTTGGAGCCTCTGCATTTGTTCCTTCAGTCTCTAGATTCCTGCATGACTATCCCTTTGGTCACGCAGGTCTCACTTCAGATGGCATCTCCTTAAAGAGGTCCCCTTCATCATCCAGTTTAAAGTAGCAACCAGCCACAAGGGGTCATACTCCCCTGTTCTATTTTCTCAAGGAAATAATCACTTAAAAGCAGAGCTGAGTGATAAGGCATGTGAGCATGAGGGCCAGACGCTGTAGGCCAACTATACTTTTATTTAGCTGGGTGACTTGACCAAAGCACTTTGCCTTTCAATACCTCTGTTTTCAGGACAATAATAACACCTACTTCATGGAACTGTGAAGAATAAATAAGTTAATACATTCAGAGTGCTAACCTAACTGGTAAGTGCTCCAGGTGTTTTAGCTATAAATCATTTGTTTCTTTATTCCTTGTTTTTTTTTTTAAAGATTTATTTATACATACAAGAACTGGGGTACAGGCCAGAAGTGTGGGGGCAGTGAGAGGATTCACCAGAGACAGAGTGGGGAATGGAATAGGCAGACTGACTGAAATACACTACTGAGGGGAGCAGTGGGTGTGACAGGAGAGGTCTGCTGTACCATGTGGGTAGCTCTCTGCTGGCCAGGGATCGAACTCGTGCTGCAGAGGCTGAGGATAGCTTCACAGTGCTGTGCTTAACCCCTTGCGCCACCAGGGAGGCCATTTCTTTATTCTTTGCATCTCACTTCCATACCTTCCTTACACCAACACTACCACCAAGCACATTAAATAAAAAATACCTGGCCCCAATCCACTATTTCCAAATGTGAGCCAGCCATACTTGTCAAATAAATGAGGTACTGAGTACAAATGATCAAATGATGAAGATCTATAGGCTTACTTCAAATTAGTCTCTCTCTTTTTTTTTTTTTTTCAAAACACTCATCTACTGAAGAAGCACTGAGAATTATCATGGTTTCTTGTTCCTTTTTCTTTTCTCTCTTCAGCCTCCAGGAAGCTCCATTGCACTGGGAGACAGGAGAAGTAAATGTTGTTTCCATCATTTACAAACTAAGGGAAAAGGAGAAGCTGGCCCTCAATGAGCTTATGTAAAACTGAATTTATGACTCCTGACAAGGATGGAAGGATGGGTTTGTTGGTGTGGCCATTTTGTTGTTTGTTTTGTCATCAGTTCTAAGATCTATGATTTTAAGAAAACAAAGTCCAGAAATAAAACATTAAAGTAAAACTTTATTGTTTTATGGATTACCTATGAGCTTGTTATGTTAACCAATCTAGTAGCTTGGTTTATGGCTCTGGGGTTATTTCTAATCACCCACAAAGATTAGAAGCTAATATGTACTTATTCATATATATATACATAGATATATTTGGAAATACTATACCAGTAGTTACCAGGAAAGAGTAGCCACTACTACAAAGAGATACAAAACAATGATCTCAAACTTCAATGCTTGAACACCATTGAATTGTATTCTTCATATAAATGCTTTCCTCCAGCTTTGATCAGGAACCCAACCAACTTGCTCCTAATAATCTCCTCCCCAGTCCCAAATTTTTTATTATTTCACTTCTTTGGGTCAGATTGAATTTAAATTGCTATGTTAAGAGTGAAAAATTACATATATCAGGTGTTTTAAGGCCTCAGTTAATACATTTGCAATGGTTTGCTTATCACCTTTTTGAAACAATAATTCCAAAACTTTCCTTCTAGTATCTCTGGTTGTAGTTCTGTTGGTGAAGTTCTCTCCTATTATTATCCACATTCTCCACATCTACAACAGGAAATCTGGATACAATTGCTTTTTCTACTACATTTGACCCACTGAAAGTTTCTTTTTCAGGTGCTATTTCCTATTTATTTATTCATTTATATTAATATAGACTCCTAGATGCATATTAACTTCTACTCTTTATGGGTGATTAGAAATAATCTGAGAACTATAAACTAAGCTACTAGACTGTCTAACACAGCTTGCTTATGTTATTCAATGGTTTATAATCCATTGTTATCTATTATAAATTTATTTTATTGTATATTATATAACAGTATGAGTATTATTATATATTTGTTATTTATTACATATGTATTATTCATTTTAATACTAAAATTATTCCAGCTTTAGACATTGGTAGACTTCTAAGCAGCAGCCTGTGTCCTTCGGACCGGTCCCCATAATTCCTTATCTTCTATCTTGTACTTTACATATTCCAACCTTGGAGTCAGTCTTTTTGCAAGAAGATGTGACAGAGCTGCGGTTCCTTTTATTGCACAATGGGATTTGGAAACCATGAAGTATGAGCTGGAGGTATTACTGGCTTCTCATTCCCTGAGCTGTAAGATTTGTTATCTTCTTACACCACACAGCAGCTAACATTTACGTCCCACTGTAAGTCTAACTTTAGAAGGCCATGGGTTTTCAATAGCTTCCACGCTATCTCCATTTTGAGTCAGAATGGCTCCAACACTGAAACTATTTCGGGGTTCCGTCTGAGAACCTTCAAGAGGGAGCCCACGGTCAGAGGCGTGCAATACAGACCTGTGTCCTCCAGAGTCCGCTGTGCTGCGCCGGGAGCAGCCCCAGCGCATTCTCAAACCTGAAGTGTCTACAACAATTTGCAAGGACATAGAAGAGGAGGCGCTTCGCGCGCCCACTTCCTCCCGACACCGCCTCTGATTGGCTCTTGGGCCCATAAGAAACCGGTGAATGAGCAGCTGGCCCTTGCTGAAACTTGCTGGAGGTCTTTGGCTTCGCCCTTTCCTCCTCGTCGATCCGCGGGCGAGCCAAGCTGGTGGAGGATGAGGTCGTCCTGTGTTCTGCTCACCGCCCTGGTGGCCCTGGTCGCCTATTACGTCTACATCCCCCTGCCCGGCTCCGTGTCGGATCCCTGGAAGCTGATGCTGCTGGACGCGACTTTCCGGAGCGCACAGCAAGTGGTGAGACGCAGCCCAGCGCTGATTCTCTTCTCCCTCTTCTTAAGCACTAGTTCAAGGGGAAAACAAAATTTCCGGACTGTTTCCCAAGAGAATGTATATTTTTCTAATGCAATGACGCGATCGCATTTTAAGGTGCCTCCATTTGACATTTTCAGGGTGTCGCATTCTTCTTGCTAACATAGGGCTAGATCTGCGTCTCCGGGTTTGTGCTGGTGACAGAGAAGGTGAACTACTTGGGTAGAATCTGACAACTGTTTAACCCATCGTCCATTCTAAATACCCCCCCCCCTTTCTTGGTTTGCAATGTCAAAAGAAAAATCTTTCTGCATTTTATAAACCACCCCTCCCCCAACCCCCATTTTCTTTCTCCTTCTGGGGGCCGGCAGAGAGTGAGTTAAATGTTTTAGGAAGGCGCTGGGAAAAACAGGCTCTCGTTCCGGGCAGTGCAGCCACCGTAAAAGCTTGGGCGTGCGCGGGCCATCTCCCAACGTCCTGTGACCCTCCACTCCCAGGGGCATAGGCTGGACGCCTCTAAACACTTGAGGAACCGCGCAGACCTCCCATTTCATGCCTGGCACTTGCAAGTTCAGTCCCAGAAAGGAGGCCAGCAGGCCTGGTTGGTTGGAGGAGAGGCAGTCGCCGTCATTTGCATGATGCGTTTGTTTTCTGCTTGCCCTGCAGCTTTTATTTTATGTCCTTGGCCACCAAAGAGATAACCTTTGCCTGAACCAGTATACCCCGGCACGGTAACATTTCTCTCTACTGTATCTTGGCTGTGTATTTCTTTTCTCCCACACACAGAAAAATATAACTCTCTCTGGCTTATTCCATGGTAAGTAACATTGTTTTTAGTGCCAGGGAATCTAAAATCTAAACTACAGCCTGCAGCCTAGACTGAGCTTTATCACTGAACAGTATTTCTGAGAAGCCTGCTCTCCCTAGACTCTAGCCTTCCTCCAAAACCAACTTTCCTCTCTTCCTTCAACCTTGAATTTTAACTTGAGCTTGTTTTGTAAACTCCTCTTTTTGGTTGTTTTTCAAGAATGACTATAGGGAATGTAAAAAGATCATAAATTTTTCTGGAGGATTGTTCCTTTTCCTTATCCATTTTGATTGTGTGTAGAATTACATGGTCTTTTTGTCCTATCAGTATTCCTAGTAGAGATTTACTATTCCTGAGTCCAGCTACATTTTTACCTTCAAGTTCCCTGCTGTCTCTCAGGAAGGGTCTATGAAGCTGGACACCCCCAGCCCCCTTGCTTTCTAATATTGACATGGTAGAAGAATGGACACCCCCTTCTCTAGTATGGATTCCAAGAAAGGCAGTCTTCATGTGGGAAGTATGGTAATCCCTCTTTTCTCCAGATATTATGTAATTTGGGATTAACACTCTTCAGACACCCTGGGGTACAGTGGTATATGCCTGGATGGTTAAATGGCCTGCTACAATAAGAAGAATAATGACTAACAAAAAAAAAAAAATGACTAACATAGAAGGCTTATAAAAAGAAAATCAAAACAAAATATCAAACTGTTATGTTGGCCACAAAGATAATTCCTAGTTTTCAGGTCACCACAGGAGTCTTCCCCATCACAAATTATTTGAGGAAAAAAAGCTTATCTTTCCTAATTAGCTTGCCAACCCAAAGGCTTTTTTTTTATTTTTTTTAAGATTTATTTATTTATTTATTATTTATTTATTTTTTTTTTAAAAATAGCTTTTTAATAACATTTCCAATTTTATGTTATGTTAGATAATGAGCACAAATGTATCATAAAATTAATAAAGGAAGCAGATTTTTTTACATAATTCATGTCAAATTAAATAGCCTCTTCACCGATTCTTTGTACTGAGAAAGGGTATTTTCATTTTCCCCCTCGTTCTTCAGACTAACAACAGACTTCTTGTAGTCCTCAACTTCTTTAGTGCCCAGGAGCTCTTCTTTACCTACTTTCAGATGTTTCTCAGCAGCTCTAATTTGAAGAAGAGTTTCCAGGACATTTTTTTCTGAGGAGCTGTTGTCCCATATATATTCTTCCATGTCAGCTTCAGTCTTATTTTGCTCCCATTCTTCCACTTTCCAAGACTCATGGTACAAAACTGTCAGTAAATACATTGCATAATCATAATTCTGTCTCCTTAAAGGGCACCTATCAGTTTTGATGGTGAGCACATCTGTGGTCTTGCAGTAGCGTTCTCCCACAAGCTTAATAAATTTCTTCTTTGCATGATCATCTAAATTCAAACTGGAAAGTTTAACCCTTAAGGTGACTACTCGTGCTCTGGGGTTTCGGATAGATGGTCCCGATGAAACATAATCAGCTGTGTCTATTTCAATTGGAAAATGCTTCTCACATTTCTCATCGCTATCTAGTGCAGTTGGCCATGCAGTGCAGAAATCTTTAAGAACTTCACAGTGCCTTTTAATTGCAACTGGAGTCAAATGCAGAAAATTGGGGATCTTTAAAAGTTCTAGATTTCCCTCCTTGGGCATAGGCACCCCTCTTTTCACTGGATAACCCATTCGAACAGGAAGAGGTACAGCTGAGGGTTTAAAGGGTGCTGCAACGGGATAAACACTGGGCCAGTCCTGGTCAACAGACATTTTCTCTGTCCTAGGAGGTAGTGCCTTTCTTCTCTGGGGCCTTTCATGCTTGGAAGTTCTTTCTGTTGTACGCAGGCTCGGCCTAGGGGCGCGAGGGGCCGGAGACACCTCGGTGGAAAAGGCACGAAGAGTCCAGGTGGCCGGCCGCAGAGCCAGCCCCGCGGGGCGGGCGACCGCCGCCATGGCGGCGAGTATTTATTTATTTTTGTGTAGAAGAACTGGGGTGTAGGCCAGAGGTGTGGGGGGTGAGAGGATTCACCAGAGACAGAGTGGGGAGCAGAACGGTTGAATTTACTGAAAGACACTGCTAAGGGAGATAGCAGGAGACACAAGAGAGGTCTGCTGCACCAAATTGGGTCAACTCCCTGGCCAGGGATCGAACTCAGGCCATAGAGGTGATAGCACTGAGACCTAACCCCTAGGCCACCAGGGAGGCCTACCAACCCAAAGACTTTGGATCCTGTGATCCTCCACTGGATGTGCCCTCTGTTTGCTTTGGGGATTGCTAAAGTAAGGACAGGTTACAGAGATAGATGAAATAACAAAGTATCCTCACCCAGTACTGTGGCTTGAGAGTGGGTTTGCACAGATGTGGCCCTCATCATTTGTCTTCTGAAGTGGGCAGTATCAGAAGGATCATTCATACCACATGGAAGCATCTTCTACCCACAAAGGCAACTTAACAGTGTCACTTTGCATTGTCCTGAGGAAAAGACAGTGTGGCTTAATATTGTAATATTGTAAGTGAATAAGAGCATAACTGTTCAATTCATGTCCCAGTGAATCCCATCCCAGCCAACCTCACTGGTTGTGAGGCTAGGTCGTTAGTCCTAACCTCTGATTCTTGGTTTTCCCTCTAATGTAGACTAATAGTTACTCTGATCCTCAGTTTTCCCTCTAATTTGACTAATAGTTACATTGTAAGGTTGCTGTGTGTGTTTAAATGCCTGGAATTTGTTATAGTTATTTTTTAAGAGTTGTCTCAAATGTCCTCTATGGATTGTGGGGAAAATACTTGTGATTGCTTTAACTTTGTTGAGACAATATAACAAAGTCTCAGGCATTAGTATTTAAAAAAAAAAAACCCAGCAAAAGTTGAGAAAAACACTATTTTATAAGTTAACTATAATGCATTGTAAATATAGATTTTATATTTTCCTTAAACTGCTCAAATTTTACCATACATGTTGCTGGGAATGAGTCCCTTTACATTATCATTGTTTAGTTTATCAGATTAGTTGGTTGAATACTTGGCTCTAATAGTCTAAGGGGATAAAATACTAACTAGGGAAATTTGGTGGTATAACAAAGCCATCATAAGACTTGAGCAGTGGAAAAGTACAAACAAAAGTGGTTCTGGGAAGGGCAGTGGAGATAGAATGATAGATAGAAAGTTGGACAACGGAAAGTTAAAGAACAAAAGAAGGGAATTTGGGGAGTTTCTAAATACTGATTTCAAAATGCAATGCAAGCAAAAATATTAAAGAATAAGATTCCCTGTTAAGGTAAACATATTGAGAAGTATACACTGCTGGAAAAAATGTAAATTATCAGAACATTTTCAAAGGATACTTTAGCAATATGCATCAGAAACCACATGCAAGTTTATTTTTTGACCCAGCAATCCTTCTGGATGAATAAGTAATTATGGATAAAGGTAAAACTGTAGTTATAAAGATGAAAACACATTACAGGATCAAAAATATTATTTAATTCAAAGTCATCCCCATTTCTAAGAAATATGGAAAAACATTCAGCAACCTCTATTAGAGATTGTAGAGATCTGTAAAAGGGTAAGTAAAATGTGGTAAACCCATATTTAGAAACACCGGGCAGTCAAAGATGTAGATTGTAAAATCATGCTTAATGACCTAAGGGAAAAAAAAAGATTTGTACTGTATATTAGGTGGGAAAATGCTATAAAACAACACATAAACCATTATCCCATTTAAAAATCTATACATCAAAACATACAACTGTACATATCTATATACCTATACACATATAGAAAAAGCAGAACAATATAATTTAAAATATAGAAATTTCTTTCAAGGCCATAAGAATACATCTTCAACTTTATTTCTACATCTTCAATTTTTATATCACAGTTTTTCTACAAAGAACATGTAATAATAAATTATTTTTTAAAACTATTGTTTATAGTTAAGTTTTTGTAGTAAGTTTTTTTACTGTAAAGATGAATTGATGTGCATACACTATCAATGCGATTAATATTTTAGTAATTGTTCTATGGGAAAAAAGACTACGAAAAATGGCATCCTGGATCCCTCGACAGAGTTATCACAGTGGCAAAATAACACAGGTTGAAAGCCTACTATGTAAGGTTGTGAAAAGGTTCTCAAGTGATTTAAAAGAATCTACAGGCTGGGGCCTTCCTGGTGGCAAGGGGTTAAAGTCAGTGCTATCAAGTTATCAGCAGCCACTAGCCAGAGAGTTAACCCACATGCACAGCAGACCTCTCCTGTCCTGCCCTCTGTTCCCCTCAGCAGTGTATTTCAGTAGATCTGTCTGTTAGGCTCCCCACTGTCTCTGTTGATCCTGTCAAACCGCCCCCCCACCACCACACACACACACCTCTTGTCTACACCCCAGTTGTTGGATGCATAAATAAAAATAAACCTTTCAAAAAAAAATCTACAGCCTTGCAGAATAGAGAAGCCATGTTAATATCAGCTATGAAAAAAGTAGGAGCTGACAGGAATTGTAGAAAAGGTATAATTCAGAATTTTATAGAAAGGAGAAGTTATGTACCATTTATGGGAGTGAAAAAGATAGTGACTATAGGTAATAATTGCATCTCAGCAGAATTCAGAGCAAGAGCTTAGCTTGTTTTACCTTGATCATTTAATTTACTTGTTCTTAAACTATGTATCCTCTTGATGAGATTATGTAAAAGAGAGGTGGAAATTGGTGCTTCTGCTGAATGATTGTCCTATATTTTATGGATGTCAGTGCTTTTGGACTAGTTAAGCAAGATTTTTCAGCCTGTACAAGCTAAAGTGACCTCACCTGAATTTTCTGTGCATAATGTGCAGGATGTGTGGGCATGGTTCAAATGATAGCCCAACTGAACACCACCCAGAACTCCAACTAGCTAACCTTTTTCATAACCATTCATGAAATGGAATGTTTAATATTGTTAGGTAAGTTAAACTTTAAAACATCAGTATGAAAAGCAAGTTTAATCTACTGCCTTACAGGCTTGATGTGGTACATATTTTGTCATGTAACTTACAGATTTCACCGATCATAGCAATTTTAGCTGATTTCGACAGGATTCTTTTTAACTACCTGGCTGCAGAAATTTCAAATTTAAGAAAAGCCTCTGGGGCAACATTTAATCAGCATTAATTCTGATAGGTGAATAATCTGACTAGGTACCTGTTGACAGCAGTGCTTGGTGGATTCAGTCAAACATAAGGCCAGAATGATTTCCCTATCAGGCGTGTAAGACAATACTTATTTTATAGTTTTGCTGTTTTCCCATAGAACTCAAAAAATATAGCCATAAGTACAGAAATGCCATCATTATGAATGTGTTTTAATGGAGCATTCTATTTCAAACATGTAACTTGAGCTTGATCTGAAGACATTTCTGTGAGGTGAGAAAGTGCAATAATAATTCCTAAGTGTTCTATTAATGCCCAGTTGCTCCTTTTAAAATAGTGAGCATATATTTACTTTTACTGCAAAATGAAATGTGGGAACTAACACTTATTTTCTTCTCCATTTTGTGTTTATAATGAATTTAAAACTATGTAATTGAATTTCCAAGTGACAAACCTAGTTGTATTTTTTACCTAATCTAAAATGTGTCATATTATGAAACTTTAATAATCTCTGTCTCAGTGTTTCTAAAATAAAATTAAAATCATACCATTTGGAAATCATCATTTTCTCAACAAATATTAACTAAACACCAATGCTAAGTAAGAGCTGGTGAGACAAAATCAATAACACACACACTAATCTTGAGTTTATAGTCCAGTGAAGGGAGATAATAAACCTACTGACAGTTACAGCATGTACACTGCAGTGAGAGAGACATTTATGGGCTGTTGCAGGTGCCTTAAAATGGATATGTAATATAGACCTAAGCATCAGGGACTGTTTCCTTTCACAAGTGGTACCTAATCCAGAGTTATCAAACTTGGGTGATTACTAACATCTATGAAGCATTTAAAAGTGTGTCCTCAACATCATTATCCATAGGTTCTTAGAAACTTCAACTTTAAGCAAATAAGATATAAGGAAAGCAGGGCCTGAATAACATCATAACACCATTTCATTTAACATCAGCTGGAATTATTTTTTCACATCAACATTATAATGAAATATAATGAAATATTGCTGAACAAATAATGTTATCTGAGGACCTGCTGTAGTGGCGCTTACTCTGTACCAGATACTGTGCTGTGTGCTTTGCATGCAACTCATCAAATCAACACTCTAATTCTATAAGGTAGCTATTATTATTTTCCTTTTCTTACAAAGGAGTAAACTAAGATGCAAAAAAAAAAAAAAGTAACGTCCTCATGAAAACACAGCTTTCATCCCTTACCTTGTAATATAGCATATAGAGATGTTGAATTACAATGCTATTCACCTATAACCTATATAATTTTTTTTAAAGATTTATTTTTTATTTATACAAGAACCGGGGTATAGGCCAGATGTGCGGGAGGGTGAGAGGATTCACCAGAGACAGAGTGGGGAGCAGAACAGGCAGATGGACTTAAGATACTGCTGAGGGGAGCAGCAGGCGAGACAGGAGAGGTGTGCTCTCCAGGTGGGCTGCTCTGCGGCTGGCAGGGATCGAATTGGCACTGCAGCTTCACAGTGCTGCGCTCAACCATCTACCTCACCAGGGAGGCCCCTATATAATATTTTAAACCAATGTTACTTCAATAAAAATTAAGGGAAAAAAAGATAACACAGTTTGTTATCTTTGAGTTCAAGGGTGTAACCATTGTGCTAGATTGCTTCCCACAGAGGCAAGCTGAGTGAAGAAGGTGGGGGGAAGAGAAGAGAGGGGAGGAAAAGAGTGGAAAGGGCTTTCAAGCCAGAAAGTTCCAAAGGCAAACATGGTAGGACCAAGGAGCTAACAGTGGTTTAAAACTCAAAAGTCAGCGAGATGAGGTAGAGAAGCAGCACAGGCTGGGTAA